GCGGGGACTCCCTCGCCATCCCAAGGAGATCCATGGGGCGGGGCGCCCCCACATCTTGCTACCCCCTCCCCTGCCCGATGACTGCAGCCCGGTGCCTGAACCTCCGTGGGGCCCCAGCGCAGCCCCTCACCTGGAGGGATCGCTCCTGTGTCGCGGGGGCTCGCGTCCGGCCTGGGGGCGCAGAACTGGCGGAGCTGGGGTGCGGGGCAGGAGCGGATCAGCTGAAGTCTGCCGGCGCGTGTCCCTCTCTGCAGCTGAGCAGCCCCGAGGAGGGGGCTATATAACCCGCCCAGAGAAACTTCTGGAAAGTTGGAAAAGTTGCCTGTGTAAATGGGAGGCTCCGAATTCCAACAGAAAAAAAAAAAAAGCACTTTAGAGCCTCCCACTGGCAGACTCCCCGCTCCACTCCTGGGAGCTACCGCAGGGTCCTACTGCTTGGCGGATTGCACACGGCAGAGTCCTCTGGAGGAGAAAGGTCGGAACCTTTTATGGTCTTTCCTAGACTATGTCTACACTACAAGGTTTTTGCGCAAAACCCAGCGGAATGTCCACACCTCAAGTGTGTTTTTGCGCAAGTAAATCGGCAGAACAGAGAGCTTTTGCTAGTAGAGTTATTCCTCTCCCCACGAGGAATAACGCCTTTTTGTGCTATAGCTCTTGTGCAAAAAGGCAGGTGTGGACGCTCCGGAGGCGTTTATGCACAAGAAACCCCTATCGGCAAAAGCACAGGTGCCCTGATGGCCATTCTGTGAATAGCAATCAGAGCTTTTTTGTGCACGAGTGTCCATGTAGTGTGGACGCTCTCTTGAACAAAAGCACATCGCTTTTGTGATGCGTTGTGAGGTCTGGACGCGCTTTTGTGCAAGAAGTTTTTGCGCAAAAGCTCTTCTGCAAAAGGCTTCTTGCACAAAAACCCTGCAGTGTAGACAAAGCGCCTGCATTAGGCTCCTACCCAGTTCTCCAGCTGCTCTGCTCCAAAGGCCATGCCACCACCAGCAGCAGTGCAGAAATACCACAATCCCCTCATGATAACCTGGCAACCCTCTCATGACAGTGTGAAACTTGCGACAAGGAGTCCTGTGGCACCTTATAGGCTAACAGATGTATTGGAGCATAAGTTTAGTGGGCAAAGACCCACTTTGCAGATCCAGACTAACATGGCTACTCCTCTGATAGTGTGAAACTTCTCATTCTTAAAATCCTATGACCATGATGCTAATACCAAAATGGCTAGGATTGACCTAGCCAGAGCATCGCCTACATGTAGAGGCGCTGGGGGTCAGCCCTGGCAGAAATTAGGCACTGGCTGTTCTCCCCAGGTACAGATATGGAGATGAAACACAAAATGTCTAAGGGCTAGACCCACAAAGGTATTCAGGGACCTAACTCCCATTGCTTTTTTAGGAATGGGGCACCTAAACCACTAAGGGTGCATCTACACAGTGCCCTAAACTTGAAATAAGATTCCCAATTTGCACTATGAAAATTGTGTAGCTTATTTCGATTGAATTTTGAAATTTAGCACATCTACACTGCCAAATTTCAAAATAACGCACTATTTTGAGACATCCCTTAACCCTCATGGAACAAGAGTTACTGGCATGCCGAAACAGCACACCCGTTATTTTGAAATAATTGGCGGCTTGTGAAGACATGGGGTAGCTATTTTGGGATGCCTCCGTTTTACTACTTGTCTGTGAGGAGCGGGGCAGGAACTCAGATGTCCCATGTTTTAAGCTTTGTAATCCAGCCGTTGGAGCATCTTTCCTCATATCAGCCCACTCTATAAGATGCAAA